GGCAGATTTAAGCGAGTAATAGTCAAGTTACTAGAAGAGTAGTTTAAGGCGAGTAAGCGATACTCAATCAGACTGCACGATGCTAACATTACCGAGACGCACATAACTCCCCCGACCCAGAGCCGTATATAGAGACTTTCTATATAGCGGCGTTCTGTCCACGACATAGAGTCCCTTAATATATTCTATTAATAATTCTGCGAGTTAGCGCTAAGGAGACACGCGTCTTGTGCTGTGTTCTAGTGCGTCTGTGCGTCTGTGCGTCTGTGCAGGGTAAAGAATTGATGGCGACGTACTGCTAACGGGTTGCACGGAAGAGCTCTGGATTGGGAGCAGAGCGACTGCTGGTGACAACGTCACAGAAAACGCCAGAAGAGCGACACACGGAATGAGGAATTTATGATATTAACAACGTCAACTAATAATCATACTTAGGATGGATGATACAAATATAATCATGATAATCATAGTCGATAATAATTAAATCGCTGGAAAGATTTTATGATGAGCGAAGAGGTTTGTACTGTGTTGATGTTTGGTGTTATTGTATTGAATGCTTGTGCACTATTCATCGTGCACTGTTGTGTTTGTATTGCTTGATGTGATTGTGCAGCTATTAAAGTACTGTGCACTATTCGTGTTTCTATTTACCGGATTGATGTACTGTAGGCCTATTTATTGTGCGTAACCGCGAATTCGTCATTTACATTCGTGTTTGAATTTCTTTTTTTGATTTCATTTTTAATAAAAACGTTTAGTGTTTCGCGAAATTAAAAGCATTCCCGTGACCAAAGCATGTATATTATGTGACCTCGGATTGATATAATTAGATCCAGGTCCGATTATAGACCAGGACACAGCTCGAACGGAAACGGTCTGAAACCTTAGGATAATGGGAAATGAATGCGCTAAGACGGATCGTTGTTGCGATTTGACGAGGCGTATATCCCGTCGACAGCGGCCTCTGTATATGTGGTTGTTGTTAGCATTGAAATCACTTCTTAAACAACGTCAACATCGTGGTGTGTTTCACGTCACATTAATTTGGCACTATGCATGCTGCAAGCCTAATCGTGTACCCTACGTACAATGTTTAGTAGTGGCCGAGCAATAGCAAAGGTACGAAGCAGCTCGCCCTTGTATTTCTTCTTGTATAGTAATAGACACCGCTATACTATGACTGTGAATTTGAAGTTTTAGCCTAACTACGCTTGTTTATTTCTAAAGCGTCATGCAAGCAAATGCTATGGTCGTCAAGTTCTATCTATTCTAGCTGTGCTGTGCGTGGCGTGCGTGCGTGCGTGCGTGCGTGGCGTGCGTGCGTGCGTGCGTGCGTTGGCGTCGCGTGCGTGCGTATGCCGAATGTAACAAAAAAAATATTCCTACAATAAAAACATTCCAGAATACAATTATTAAAACTAGGCAAACAAATAGATAATGAACATAAAGCCAGTATATGCATAGGAACAACATAACATGCATGATATATATTACCCAAATATAATTATAACAATACTATTCCCCAAAATAACAACCTATATAAAATCATGAACATCACTATTAGAATGAAATACATAACAAATTTTTATTATCTTCCTATTCATATATATACATAGAACAATAACATCTATGCAATATAGTATCCAAAACTATTATTATCCTATTATTCATAAACAACCTATATATTCTGAACATCATTATTAGATGAAATAAATAACAGCGCAAGCATTTTAATAGGCCTTCTATTTAATATATCAATAGAACAATAACATCGTGAGTATATTAACAATAACATTATTAATTATAACAATATCTACACATACAACATATAAAATCATGCCAACATGTAATATTAGGTCTTCAATCAATATAATAGCATAGAACAACATCTCAACCAGGAGTCGAATAATATTATATATAGAAGTAGATTTTATTATATGGATCTCTATTATTCACTGCCTGATAGGCATCATGAATATATTACGAAAAAACATTGTTACACTATAGCTATACTACAACCATATAAAATCATCATTATGCATATAATTATGCCATGTCTGTCTCCCTACTCCATCTTTTTGGCGGGTGCAAAGCGTGGTTGCTGTGGTGCGGTGGATTCCCAACTGTTCAAAGACATTGGAAAGTGCCGATGTACGTCACGTGCTATAATATATAATATATATAATATTATATATATAATATATATATATATAATATATATATATATATAAGTCCGTATATGATCGCGTAATATAGCGCAAATTTGGCCCTCAGATTTCAACGGCCTTGTATTTGCTCTGCTGCGGTTTGATAAGTGCGCCGATATCGTGAAGGGGAAATATACTAGGCGCAATAAATTGGTTTACCCGATTCAAAGTTGAGGTGCGGCTTCATAGGCGCCGCGGTTTATTACGCGATCATCATACGGTACTGGTAGAAAGGAAGTTTAACATTTCTGAAAACTTTTAATGACAGTTTAGTACCAACCCAGGCAGTTTATGGTATTTCACTAGCTCACAGTATACGACTCTGCCACTCTGTTACCGTTCTATTGTATACGCTACTACCTCAGTCTAAGCTAAGTTCAGTGCAGTCCAGCTTTCTTCTTACCGATGTCACACCGAGAGCTCAGGATTCTCCCATGCGAGGTCACCTCTGGACTGTTTTCCAAAAGAGGAGCATACGAATGTGTGTAGTACAGTCATGATGAAACGAAAACAAACAACGGCACACACACACAACTGCGTGGCGTCACATGCACACACAATACGCGCGAGTCGAAGCAGCACGCATACGCGCAGTCCCACGCACTACATCATACGCGCAGTGCCGACACGCACGCACACATTACGGCAGTCACGACACACACCATACACACAGACGACTCCGAATAGCAGCTAGCACACTACAGTGGCACACAAATGAATTCATATGATTTATGCTTGTGTTGAAATCCAAGAAATTAACTACTAATCGATGTATATGAATTCATAGTTTCAAACGAAATCGCATGAACTTATTTCATTCATGTACATGGTAGCACGGTTTTACAATGTGCGTGGGCTATGTGTATAGGCGTGCCTGCGTGCGTGCGCTTTGTGTTTTGTTGAATTCATGCACTTGCGCACGTTCCGGCGTCTGGCGCACAATATCCTTTTCACAAAGACGCTCTGCTGCCATCTCATACAATATCCATCTGCTCAGCAGTAGTATTTCAAAAAATCCAGCTGACAGTGCCGAACGATATCTAATATGTCGCATGATATAGATACTAATACGGATCTATTTGTTCTATTTTGTAGCTAGAACATTATGTGGATTTCATCGGACAATCTGTTATATTGAGCTGTACAGAAGTTATCCCTCCTCTCAAAAAATATATTAAGTTGTCTCCCTATATTTTGCTATTTACTTTCAACAATTTTATTCTGAGCAGGTTTAATATTGCAAGTTCGGTGCAGCATTTTTCGATTACAATTACGTATCATAAAAAAGTCTTTCCTTATTCGGCTGACACATTTACATACACAACACAATGAAAAGTAGCCCATGACTGGCTGAACATTACGATTATTTTACAGTTTGCTTATGGTTATTGCTATGGTTTAATTGGGCAGAGTTAGAGATTAAGCAGTCAGTGACTAAGTGTGGTTTAGAGTTAGTGTGTTAGAAGTCAGTTGTGTTAGAGTGTAGTGTGTTTAGAGTTAGTTGTGTCAGAGTTAGTTTAGTGTTGTTAGCACTTAGTGTGTTAGGATTAGGTGTTAGGGTTAGGGTTAGTTAGTTGTAGGAATACACGGTTAGGCATTAGGGTTAGGTTAGGGTTAAGGTTAGTGGTTAGGTTAGGATTAGAGCACGCTAGGTATTAGGTAGAGCAAGGCTGTAGGATTAGAAGCAAGGCTTTAGATTTAGTGTTAAGGCAACTCGGCACGATGTGTTCACAGATAAATGAGATTGTATGAACCAGCAATATATGCGCAATTCCCAAATGCCATTATTTACTCGTACTCAAACCTATCTCAGTTTTGCCAATGGAAGTAATTGCCATGCAAATTACTTTGGCCATAAACATACCGATGTACACCGACACGGCCAATAGGAAAATGCGTGAAGGAGGAAAAATCCTGATATTCTATGATAGAGATGTCCACAAATTGAGTGCTTTTAGAATTGCAGACTTCAACGAATTCCACACATGGAGGCGACAACCCCTTCAAGCCCCCCCCCCCGGCGCTTCGTGGCCCTTAGGCTCGCATGAATTCGCCAGCCCTCAGATATATTTCTTCTGGATCCGCACTGGTGTGTGATGTGTGGGGTGTGCGTGTTTATTAATAACCTCTGGCTCCAAAAGAAAAAAAATTACCCTAGAATTCACAAAATTGCACTCAATTTCCTCAAAAACGGCCATTTTGAAGGTTCTAAATTGCTAAAATCCAAAAGCTTCCGGGGGCTCCGCCCCTGCACCCTGACAGGGACCCTAGGGCAGGCCCCTGGACCCCACCCATTAAGGGCTTTGCGCCAAGGCGCTCCCGGTGTGCGCTTCTCGCGCACACTCTTCATATACATTGCCATGGAAGTAACAGCGAAATCATCCCCCCCACAACTGAGAACCTGTCTACGCCACTGCTTTCAAACGTACTTAACGTAAAGTGGAATTAATATAATTACAGAACAACATGTACTGGATAAGATTGGTAAAGGGTTGGCCGTGAAATTCCCATCCTACACTTCGATGTATGTATTTCATTTTCATTTCCATTTTCCATTTCCATTTCATTTCCATTTCATTTTCATTTCCATTTCCATTTCCATTTCCATTTCATTTTCATTTCATGTAAGCAGCTACTTTGATCAAATATTAGATCAAATATGACATCCTCGCGCCATCTATCGGTAGAAATAATTCATATGCGCACATTGTAGGTGGACCCGACGCCATTATTGACCTGTTGTCATAGTGACTGATCTAATGCGAACATGGAAACACAATTTTTGGTAGGAAATTTTGTTGGGGCTCTCGATTAGGGTTAGCCTAGACGTGGTATGCTTATGCTTAGTGTTTATGGACGTGGTATGGACTACTTTAACTTAGTAGAATTGTAAGTTTCAGTGTCAGAGAAATCTGGCGAGGCAGTGGCTCACACTCACACTCACAGGCATGCACTTGCCACTTGTGACTTGGAACGTCTCAATAAAAATAAAAAAAGGTAAATAAACACGAAATGTATTTACTACCAAAGTCTTAATATCTTCTCTACTCTATTTCGCCTATTATTGCCGCTAATTACCCGTAAATGCCGGTCAAATGCTCATCTGCAACACACAAGTACAACGCACGCACGCACGCCCTGTGCACAAACAACATTAATAAGAGAGCAGACGGTCATGGAGGAGGAGTAGGGGGCAGGAGGAGAAGGAGGGGAGAAAGTGATGGAGTAGGGGGAGGAGGAGGAGGAGGAGGAGGAGGGGAGGAGGCAGAGAAGGTGATGGAGATGCGAATGAAGAAGGCATTGGAGGAGGAGGAGGAGGAGGAAGGAGGAGAGAGGAGGAGGAGGAGCGGAGGAGGAGGAGGAGGAGGGAGGAGGAGGAGCGGAGAAAGGTGATAGGAGATAGAATGAAGGCATGGAGGAGGAGTAGGGGCCAGGAGGAGGAGAAGCGGGGAAAGAAGGTGAGGAGTAGGGGGAGGAGGAGGAGGAGGTAGGAGGGAGGAGGAAGGAGCACGAGAAGGTGATTGAGATGGCGAATGAAGACGGTCATGGAGGAGGAACGCGAGGAGGAGGAGGAGGAGGAGGAGGAGGAGGAGGACGCCGCAGGGAGGAGGGGAGAAGGTATGGAGTAAGGGGGAGGCAGGAAGGAGGAGGGGAGAAGGTGATGGCTGGAGAGGAGGAGAGGAGGAAGGAGGAGGATGGAGGAGGGAGAAGGTTGAATGGAGATAGGTCCTCCCTGCCTTACCTCCTCTGCGCTCCTGCCCCTCCCCCTGCTCTCCCCCTCCTTCCGCTCCCCTCCCTCCATTCCAGTCACCTTTTCCCCTCCTCTCCCTCCTTCCTCTCCTGCCCCCTACTCCTTCTTCCATATCCGTCTTCATTCGATTCCATCTCAGGGGCAGGTATCGTTTATTACTCACAGGTTACATATTATGCTGAAAGATAC